ACAACCTGTTCCCCCTTACTGCATTTAGATTTCTTGTTGCCTCCTGTTATTGCCAACAGAATTTTGCTGAACAAAGAAAAACCTGAATTAGTCTAGGCCTGGGGAAGGCAAACCCTTAAACTCGTGTTTTGCTTATATTTTTCTCTATTTGTGGATGGGATCCCAGATTTTAGAGATGCAAATGTTCTGCTAAACAAATTGGCATGTTGTCTCTTTCCTGTGATCTTGTACCAATCTAGTTTTAATGTGCTGTTGCTCTATATGGTAAGGGAATTGGCTGATCTTTGCCTCAGATTCTTGTTTGAGTTGGAAGTCTAGCGGTTTAGGAAGTTATCCTTCAAATTCTAATACAATTACATGACCGGAGGCTTCAGTTACACTTTGAACGCATCATGGACTCACAGTGAGCTATATTTAAAGTCCTGAAATGTAGAGCTCCTACTTTGCCAATGTGACTGGGGATGTGAACTGTCACTGCCAAATATTCTGTCTGGCTTGCCCCCTTGGTTTCTGCCTGTTATACATTCTTTCTGGTTACTAATTGCTGCTTTTCTATGGTGCCTTTCTACATTTCTCAAGTTCTTGGGAGTGCAAGAAGTAGAGGAAGATGTATCGTTTTCTTCCAGTATCAGATTTTGAATCCCACTGAACTGTATCTTGTCTAACTGGCTCTTGTTATGATGCATCCAGAAGCCATGAAGTATTTCGAAGGCATGGCGTTGGCAGAAGAAGAGAGACCATTGCCTTCTTAACTGCCTGGTATTGCCTGCAGGAGAACATCTTAGGTGGATTTTCTCTCTCTGGAAAACAGAGGAACTTCTGTGGCAGATAAATTGTGGTGTAGAGAAAACAGCAGCTGTTGACCTTTCAGATATTAGCCTTGACGCAAATATTCCTGAGGGAGATGCTTATGACTTTCTTACCAGCGTGTTCCCTACAGGCTCTCTTGTATTACTGTTAGGAAATGTGAGCTTGCAACAAAGCTGTGTATTTGTAGGACATGGTTTTATGCTTGTTGGCTGGGTTCTTGTGGCACATAGAAAATAAGGACATTCCAGGTCAACTCAGCTTTAACACTGCTTCTGCCACTGACTTGCAGTGTGGATTTAGACAGATCACTTCATATCTATTGGAATAATTAGCTACGGCCGTTAATTAGTGTGGCTGCACTGGGTCCTGTGCTTAGGACGCCCCTGCTGCTTTTCTGTCATCCAACATACCAGATGGCTCTAGTCACATTCAGTACCACACTCTGCCTCACTCCATCTCTGTCTGAAATTGCCAGGGGACAGCAGTAATGACCCATCTTGTAATGGCACAAAGTGGATTTGACCAAGCTCTCAGGACAGAGTTCTATCAAGGCTCTTGTTACCATTCACTTAGGTGTAATCTGTAATGGGAAAAGCCCTCACTGCTTCCAGAGAGACTACAGGAGGTTTACAAGGGACATCCATTTGGCTTCCTTTGAGCCCTAATTGTTCGTTAGATATTGAGAGCTTTCATATGAGTGTTACATGCACCAGGTGGTGACTGAGCTGCTTAAGCTACATTTGAAGCTGTGGGACATGTATGAATTAGAGTAACTAAAACTGGGGTAAATTCTGAAACCTGGTGTTCTGAAACATCAGAGATTTTCTTAGGACAATTTATAAGCTGGGGAACCTGTGTACATGAAGAAAATACGGTTGTCATATTAAGAATGCAATAATTGAATAAAAAATATGACTTTATTTCTGTCATTATCTAGGTCATTCATAAGGTAATCTTACCTCAGGCATTTAGGCAGAGACTGGTGCAATGATATTTTCAGTAATAATAATAAAATCCTTTATTTCACTGGGCATCTCCAGTTTTGGTGCTTGGAATTTTTTGTTTGGCTGGGGGTTTTTTGTTTTGATTGTTTGGTTGGGTTTTTTTCTGTGTCTTTTATACTGGGTTTTGGTTTTGCTGTGGCACCCTGAAGTACTCAAGATTCCTTTTGATGCTTGAGAACAGATTTCCAATGCGGAGCTTGTTTATTATTCAGGTCATGATGTACTGGTGGTCAGTCCTTGTAAGAGGCCAAGTTGAGCTCTCTCACACTTGGAAATTTGCCCAAGGCAGCAATCATTCCTCAGTTTGTGCTACTAGCTTGTTTTGTCTGTACAGGTTTGCCAAACACGTGGTCAAGATAAAATGACGTATTTTTCCTTGAGACTTTCCTGGTGTTAGTGAAACTTGATTGTTACAACGAAAGCCATGGTCAGAGTCTTTCCTTTCTTTACTGTCTCTTTGGCTTAGTTTCTTTTTCTGCTATGGGGAATTTAACAGCTTGTCTGGTTGTTTTCCTTTTCATGGTCTCCTACAATAACCAAATCCAAAGTACAGTTACCAGTTAATGTTCAGGTCCCTGGGTTTGTAAGAGAATATATAAGCAAGAAAACCAGTATCACTGTATGGATGATGGGATTTTTTCAGTGGTGCTGCCAGGTAAGGCATGTGTCGATTTTATGTTATTTTATTTTTTTCATCCTAACACATGCATTCTCAGAGTGCCTCTATTCTGGGAACCTCTGACATTATGATACACTCAGGCTGACTTTCCTCTCTTTCAGGCTGCTTGTCAAAAAACTGTGATAAACCTGATAAGTCACCATGATCCCCTTTACCAAACTGGGAAGTCTGTAGAAAATTCCAGCCATGGGGAAGTTGTATAGCTGGAGTATCCACTTCATGCTGCACTGCACAGTACTCCATTGCTTTTCTGGGCTCTTAGTGCTCACTACCCATTTTAAGGTGTTTTTAAGTTTTGCTGTCTGGTACTGAGTGGATTACAAAAGTCTTCTTGTCACAGGGCAGTGGGGTAAAAGAGCAAATTCATCCTGGAATAATGGTGTAATTCTCCCACATAGCTGCACAGCTGAAGCAGTCTGTTTTCTTGCCTTCTGTCATGCCTGTACTGGAGTCTCTGTGCATTAAGGGCAAGGTAAACTGTTTTCTTTTTTAATTTCCTGCCATTTCGTGCTTCCGTCAGGACTTTTCCAGGAGAAAGGAGAGGTCAGTATTCATTTGTTTGGGAAAAGAAGACTCGATTACAGATATTTAAACAAGCCCAAAACAAACAGCTTAACTAGCCACAGGAGGAAAGCAAGATGCCAAGATCATCCTTTCCTTTGCTCATGTGGCCTCCAGGTGACCCTAACCATCTGATTATCCTTTTTTCTGTTAGCTTGCTTCTATGTTTAGCTTTGTAGTTTCTATTAATAGCACCCGGAATGGATGCTGTGCAAGGCAGGCAGAGGTGTCTGCCCACACTGCATGAAGGCAGGTGTCCTGCCATGGAAGCAGAGGAAAAGTGGTTTGGGCTCAAGTGCAGCTGTTCCTTCAGCATTAGAGAATTGGTTGTGGAACAAGGAAAAGATATGCATGGCAACTGGCTGTGGGGTGCCATAGGCTCTGGCAAGCCTATGGAGAGAGGATCAATCTTCTGGCAAATTGTACTTAACCATCAAGATTCTCTTCAGGAATCCTTTTTTGTGTTTGAAGGAAACTGTACATTTTGTGCTCAGTTCTGCTTGAAAAGATTCATCTTAAGACAATGAACCTGGACCCATGAAGTCCCTCTGAGTGTCAGGCTGGTTTGTGATTTCCAAACTTCTGAAGTTTTCATCTCTTTCATGCAGCTTTTATTTGCTGACCTGCCTTCAGAAGGCTAATAATCATACTGGAAGCCATTTGATGATAAACTTCCTGCAGGCAATGCTTAAAGTGAATGCATTTAAATTTCGGTCTGCTCTTTGTATCTAATGTTGTTAATGTAGGGTAAAGAGAAATCTCACTGAAGTATGTGTTCCTGTACATCAACTTGAAGTTTCACCCCCAAAAAAACCCGTTAGTTAGGTGAGAGATAGCAGGCCAGGAGATGCCACTTAAAGCTTTTTAAAATAGCCAAGTCTGAGTTTTAGTATTTTCAAGTATTGGAGTACCATGGCAACAAGAGCTTCAGTACTTGGGACAATTTGGTACTGAATTCACACGCTTCCCTAGGAGGAGGCAATAGTCCTCTGAGAGTTTTGAAGTGGTCTGAGAATCTGAAGCAGTCATGGGTGTTTGTCAAAGAGAATTTCCCTCCCTGGACCTGACCTTCTCAGTTACTAGCCAACAACCAGAGCACTTTGCAGTGGCCCATTCCATCTAGCAGATTCCCAGATCTGTGTGGGGTACATCCCATAGGAGTGCGTACTAATTAAAATTGCTGAGTCTGTGAAAACATTTGCTGGGCTACAGCAAAATCATGCCTAACTCTGAACAACATCAAAAATACTGTGTTTTTAAATTAAAATGTGAAGTTCCAGTCAAGCAGCAGAGTTGAAATTGCAGCTGGCTGAGAGGGCCTATCTTCATACCCAGACCATGATGAGAATCGTGGGGCAACCCATCATGCTACCAGAACCAGCTACATAAGTGTTACTGATATTGAGATGTGGCTTATTGCTTGCTCTTGAGAGGGATCAGATATTGTAAGCAGCAAGATGAGCAAGGGCATGCTTATGGAACTGGGGTTAAGTTGCATCATCATAAAATTTGTTAAACCTGGGAGAGTCTTCTCATCACCTCTCATGCTAGAGTTACAAGAGCCATAGCTCCCTGAGTAAGGAATAAACCATTGTTTTTGTGATTGATGGTTATAACATGAGGATGTTTGAAGATCCTCAGATGCTTTAATCAAGGGGTTCCTTGAGTGTCCCTCCTCTAGACATAGATGACATTCCTGTCTCAAAGGTGGCAGTACTTTGACAGTACTATGCCTGCCTTGTGGTACATGAGTTGGTTACAGCAGCACTCATTTCTTCAATTGTCTAAAAGGTGGAATTTACTTCTTTCTTATCTTAACAGCGCTTGAACAGAAAAGGAAGTGCAAAGGAGGCGTTTCCCTCAGTTGGCTCATCTTCACCATACCTCTCTCCAATTCTGCTTCCTCCTTATAATTCCCAAGTGAAGATGAGTAGCCTTCTGCGAATATGACTTCTGTGACTGGTGTCATTGCCTCCCGCCAGTCTGAGTGGGTGTCCTTCAATGATGAGCTGCTCCTCCCTGTTAGCCCAGGAGGTAAGCTGTCTGATTGTCTTTGAACATTGTAAGACTTTGTTTAATTAGACCAGCTACTGTCATATATCTAGCATCACAGAGCTTGCCTTCTAAGTGGAAGCAGTATGTGCAGAGGTTGAATTATCTCCTGCTACCCTTGTGTAATGAGAGAAACTGGGCCAAAAGTATAAAATACTTTCTAATGTGAGATTTCCTTAGCATAGATCTATTACAGGGTTTGGATCTGTCCTTTGAGATATGGAGGAAGTCTCACCTTTTATAATCAAGTGCAAAACAATGCCCAGTGTTAGTCTAAAATCTACATTAGGTGAAGGACATTTTCTGCCTACGTTTAATGGCAAATTCAGGTATTTCGATAAAAAACAATGCAGTAATGATGAATCCTACCAATTCTATTTTTGTCTCTCTTTTAGGTAGGACTGAGGAGCCTCTGGAGAAATGTTTTTCTTCATCAGACACCTCCTCAGAAGAGAACCACAATGCTAATGGTGAATTTCAAGATGTCTCCCTCACAGAGCTGGAAAACACAGCTGACCAACCCAAGGTGGATTCTGCTGTGCTTGGGAACCATGTGTGTCCCAGCACTGATCTGTCATCATCCATCAGTGCTTGGGTTCAGTTTGAAGATGCACCATGGACCAGTGCTCCATCGAACCATGCACAAGCAGGTGAGGCAAATGCATGAAAAGGTCCCTTCCAGTAACATAACAGAATACAGTGAAAGCCAGGATTTTTTCCTTGCTTTTTCATTTCTCAGAAGTTGAACTTCGACTAGTTCTAACTGTATTTTAACAGAGTTAATGTTATCAGGGTTTCAAAAAGGGCTCATAATTTTGTTCTGGGTTGAACTAGCAGTATTTTATTTTTGTGAAGAAAATGAAAGGTTTCTGTGATTAATTCCACCTATGTCTTGACCCTGCCAAAATGGGGAAACAGCGTAGTGGTGTTTTCAGAAGTGACATTTCTTACATACAGGTATGAACAGCCATCTAAAAAGTTTAAGCACGGTTTGTCTCTGTAACCTGGAACTAAAAGAATGGTGACCACTGTCCTTTGTGGTCTTAGTCTTTATCGGCTCAGAGTCCCCATATGTTTTTTACTGGAAGCTTAGTGAAACCAACAACTAGTGTGGCAGTGCCCATCAGTACTTTCTGCTGTCTTTTGATGCTGTGATTTAGCAGGTAGAGAATTACAAAGACAACTGAAGTTGACTGTAATTCCAGGGCTGTGTATACTTTTCGAATGTAAAAGTTCATTTTGACACACTTCAAATGTGCATACAAAGCCTCTGGCTTGCCTCCTCAGCTTATGCTAACTGATATGGCTATATGAGCCTCCAGCTTTTGTGTAAGAACAGACTTCTGGCCCTCCATGCGGGAGGCTGTGAAGCAATTGCCCAAGTAAACATTAGTTTATTTTCTCATGTTTGAATTGAGAGTCTCTCTTAATTCTATTCTGTTAGTTATTAAAGCAGTTTAAAACAATTACAGCTTTACTTTGATCACTTGAGTCCATCAAATACTCCCTGTAATGAGAATAATACTTCTGTCAGAAAACTTGGATTGGCAGCTTTGGGTTAGGTTTTAGGTAAAACCCAGTAGTTTTCCATCTGTTCTCTTTATGGATTCTTAGACTAGTCTGAGGCAGTGGTTAGACCTTTGTGCAGGAGAGGTAAGTGAATCCTCAGGAAAAAAGAAGTTTCTGTTAAGCTCTGCTTAAGATCTTCTCATCCTTATATTTATTTGTTGGCTGTTATTCTTAGTTGTAATTGCTTACTGATCCTGGTGGTGAGGAGAGAAGGAAGAGCACCAGTAAGTGTAAAGCTATAAAACTGAGATGGTTTCCCACCCTATTATTTAATTTAATGGTTAGACGATCCTTACTCTCACTCGTACAGCCACACACTTTTTCAAATGGACCTGTTGGTTGCTGTGACATCGTATTTCCTTCCTAATGTTGCAATATCCTTCTAGAATGGAAAACTCTAAATACACCTTCTTACTAAACTAAAACAAACAAAAAAATTCTTTGCTCAGCCTAAATAAAGCCATAACAAAGAGTCTTCAATAAAACTAATCTCATGATGTATTACTTGATTTCCCATCCTGAAAGGGATGTGGGCCAGGCTTAAGGCATGTACTTGGCAAAAGCACTGCCTCTTGGTTTGTGTTTTCAGTCACAGGGAACACTAGGTTTTAGGCAGAGCTCTAGGATGTCCAAAAGAGGTGATCAGAAAATATTTTCCAAAAGCATTGCTGTTTTGAAGGCAGCACCCTTTTGTGCCCATGTGAAGGCTTGTTCTAAGTGATCCATGCCACAGGGGAAGGTATTTATACACAAATGTTTAGCATCTGAGATTCATGGAGGAGGATGGTTCCCCTGACAGTCACATCAGGAGGTACTCCATGTAATCCTTCTGTGGGAGGCTGTTATTCTTTAACTGTATAGGAACCCTAAGGAGGTGGTATAGATATTTTAAAATCCTTATTTGTGGGGTAGTCCTGCTCCTATTCTGGACCCTGTATTATAAATTATTTGACCAGTGCAGCTGACAGCCTCTAAAGGGAAGGTCATGGGGCAGAAGAGATGACAGCTCTTTGCCTCTGGCCCACTACTCTGAGGGGCGTTTGACAGTAAGAGGTAGGGTAAACTTCAGCCTTCAGTTTTCTCAATTAATCTGCAGGTCACGTCTTCTTTCTGTGAGCGGCAGCAAAGCTGGAGACTTTGTGTTATAACCAGGACATGCTGACTGGCTCAGTGGAAACCCCATGGTGACAGCAATTACTCATTTCTAGTAGCAAACAGCCCGCATAAGAACAATAGCAAGTAGTCAGATGGGGGGGGGAGGAGAGAGTATAAAGGCCAAGTATGGACAGACAGATTGGTGTGAGAAGGATGGAGACATTTGAAATCTGTTTCCTGTGCAGGCAGCTGTGAAGAGCAACATCGTGAAGGTTCAGCACCCCTGGCCACGTCCCTGTCCCAGCTACAGCGCTGTTTGGAAATTGTCTGTCTGTCTATGCTGAAGCAGCTGCACAGCTGACTAGATAATTACCCAGGCTGATAGCCAGGCTGTCTGGAAACACATTTTGAAAAGGGCTTGCAAAGTGGCATTTCCAGAGTGTAATGAGAGCGGAGAGGATGGGCCCTAAGACAGAGAGATGCTGTCTGACATTAGGGTTACAGTGGTTTTGCACATGTTCCCCTGAAAGCTAATCTTTTTCGCAGAGTGCTCAGAATCTGAAAAAGTGGTAATTTAAAGATAACTGCCACATAGTGGTTATCAGATAGGAAATACGTTTAAAAGAAAACGAAGGCTGATGCTGGACCCTTGTCCTTGGAACCATGAAGACACAACTGGGGGAGCAGAAATTAGGTAGACTGATAGCAAGAAACAGGGTTGAAAACACAAGCAAAGTGTTTGGTAGCTCAGAAGAAAGGTCAAAATCTGAGGTACAGAAATTAAAAGCACCCATTGTGAGTTTCTTAGTGGAAATTATCTTTATTTAGGACATTCTTCTAAACCATTCTACTAGGTTCAGGCAGGCTAAATGTTGGGCAAAATCTTTCTTTCAAAATATTTGTGCTTTTCAGGTTTATGCACAGATAACTCACAGCTGCCAAATCCATGTAGGTTTCTCCCTGGGAAGCAGTAACTCCTGGACAAAGCCACAGAAATATTTACTTACAGAAATTATTCATTGTGGCACCTTCTTCCCCATTTTCCTTTTGCTGGGGAAAGTCGAAATCTGATTTTTCTCATAGTTACTATCAGGCTAGTCAAGTTGATACTGCAAAAGTGAAAAATGAGATTTTTAGACTCACCCAAATGCTCCCATCACAGACATGGCACAATCTGTAAATGATCACAGCCAGCCGGTGACATGACATTTGCATTTGTTACACAGTGGGCCTCCAGCTTGCTGTCTTGTGTTCTATCGGTGTTAGCTGCCCTTCAATTCAATGAGGTATTCAGCAAAGGACCAAAACTAGAGCAAGGCAAGATCTGTTACATCATCTGTTTCACACACCACACACACACCACCCCCCACCTTCTTCCCGAGAGCTTTGTCTGGTTTTAAATGGCTCAAGTAACTTGGACTCCTACCGTGTCCCTGGAGAGGCTATCCCACAGTAAGGCAAATCTTACTTTGCACAAAGTAAGCACAAAATTTAACCATTATGTGCTGTTCTGTATGAAAATAGGAAGTACATGCAACACACTGAAAACTAGAGCAACTCTGATGCTGTCCTGAAATCAGAAAATCTGAGGTGCTAGGAAAGGAATGGGTGCTAACAAGGATGATTGTAATAGTGTAGGGATCAAGGAACGGGTCCTCAAAACATCGAAGAGGAGTGAATGCTTACAGGCAAATCTGTGTGTTAAAAGCCAATCCATCATATTAGGAATGAACATGTCAAGAAAATTAAAATGCACATAGAAGTAACCATTTTTCAGTTTGAAATGAATCAACGAGTTGATTTTCAGTATCCTGTGCATGCTACAGGATTTGCATATTAGGGAATGTTCTGGCACTGGTCTTTCATTTTAAACTGATTTTCAAGAAATTCCTGCAGCTAAAGGCCGTGAATCTGCCTCTATTGACATTAGAGACCAAATTCCAGTTTTCTAGGAAAAAAAACCCTACCTCATTTAGGAGTTTGTTTTCAGTGCTTCCAGGAATCTGGAGAGCAGCAGAAACATCTGAAGAGGGACCTTAACATGTGTAGGTGTTTACTTTTGCTTGTCTTCCTTTTTGAGATTGATAGATTGTTGTTTGGCTCAGCATAGGTGATAATGCACTTTAATGCCAAAGGTTAGTGTTGGGGAACCTAGAACAGTCATAGGTGGAAGTTGACTATAGTTAAGATTTTAAAGAATGTCTGTTGCAGAAAAGCTCTTTGCGGTTATGGTTTTCCAAAGTACAAGTCTCATTCTTTAGAAAGGTCAAATAATCATATTCTTCCAAAGTGGCACAACTTGTCTGGAATAAAATGAATTTTCCCTTATGTAGAAGCATTCTGCAACACTATTACAGTCAGTCTCCCTCTTAGACAAAAATTGTGGAAAGAGCATCAAGTTGACAGTATATGAGTTACTAAGTCTTACATGTTTCTAAATTAACTTATGTTTTTCATATTGCTGTGTCTGAATTTAAGAAATCTAAGATCTTTTTTATAAAATAATTCCACAATTTTTAGTGTTCCAGATATAAAACACATTTAAAAAACCTTGGCTCTTGCTACTAGTTCACATACGGAGCTCAACTTTTCAGCTGGTCCTCTATGTCCAAATAAAGCACTCTGTCTGTCAAAGCAATTTCAGGTAAACTTTTAAGGGTGGCTTTCAGATGTCTCATGCCATGTTTAACAAAAGGCCTGAGAGTGGGAGTGGCAGATCATAATCATACACTTGCCATTGTTTCTCTACAGGCATCAAACACAGCACAGTATAGAATTACTAGAGAGAGAAGTGGGGGGTTTTGGTTATATCACTAACACAACAACTGTCAATATGTGCGATAAGGAATCGGATCTCCTGACTTTCAGCTGCTCATCCTTAGGGGTGACTCTACTTAGAAGCAGCTAGATACATAGGCTTACAGTTGTACAGATACAAATACATTAGTGCCTGCTTACCTGAGGGTCACCAGTGCAGCTATATAAAGTAAATTTGCACTTTTCAACTGGCAAGGCAGGGAGCACTGTTTGGATATTCCCTCTGTGCACACAGCAAAATTTCCATAATGAGATGGTGTCCCATTGTGCCACTTGGAAAGAGAAGAGAGAGATAAATCATCTTTAACATTATTTTGCCATTTTCTTCCAAAGTATATCAACGTAATAAAGGTTGTTTATGTATTACATGCTGTGAAGAGAACCTCTGTGTCAGTAGTTCTGTAACTGCAAGATTTGGGGTGCATTGAGATTTTTGTTGGTTTAGAAGATAAACATATATGTACTAACTCAAAAAAACAGTTGTTATGCTGACACTGAATTAGGATTCGTCTCTACCAGTACACTTTTCCTTAGTTCAGAGAGATATTTTTTTTACCACATTTGTTCGTGGTTTTTTTTCCCCTCGTTAGAGTCACCCATTGTTACAAACATTTATGTGATATTGTGGGCAAAGAGTATGCAATACAAAGAGTATACAATAGAAATTCATAGCAGTGGATGTATAAGATTGTGTTCTGAACTCTGGATGATGGTTACGCAGGACTTAAGTCTTTGACATGCTAGTCTGGCAAGTAAGTAGAACAGGGTTTCTGGCCTATGCCAAGCAGAAATGTTATGCAGTTCATTCAGATTGCAGCACTCTATCCTGCATGTTCAGAAACAAAAGCCATTTCTAGTGCCCATCAGTAGGTCAATTTCAGTTTATTTTTATACTCTCCTCCCATGTAGAGCATTCCTGAGATGGCGACTACATTCGAGTGGGTGTCATAGATAGGGAATGCTTAATTACATTATTTATGAAAAGCTGTGGTACTATAAAAACCCCACTGTGTTGCACAACACAGATATTCAGATCTTGTCAGCAGTGGCAGAAACATGAAATCTTCCCGTTTTGAAAAGTCACAGCTTCTGCAATATGTGAACAACAGGAAAACATACAGCAGCCAGCAGTATGGGATCTAAGGCAGACAGCTGAACAGCGCCAGAGGGTAACAGTGCAGGCACTAGTTAAGTTGCTGTGTGTTTGTTATAAAATAACTGCTGCTGTAGATGTTGGGATTTATGTTTACAGTTTCAGTACACTGATACAGCATGATCTTGGAAGATTGCCCTGTAAGTCTCTAACCAATACCTGTTTGTTTTCTGCAATCCAGTGTCTCCATCAAAAGCACCCAGCTGGGCTTGCCCCTCCTCCAGCTCTTCTGAGAAGCAAGCCCATGCGTCTGAGAGCAGCTGGACAACTAACTCTGAGGACACCAGCAGCCCAAGCATTGCTCCCTCCTACACGGATCTGCAGTCAATTAATACTGAGGACTTGACCAGTGGGAGAACATCTGCAGCAGACTCAGCTGGTAAGAGGGAAGCCTTTAGGCTTCCATCTCAAATCTTTTTGATGCTACTCAAACTCATTGCTCAAAAGTGATCTATGAGGAATGGATCTGGAGCAGTACAAACTCCAGGATTAGGCAGACAAACACTTAGTTCTAGTCTAATTCTCAAAAAATCACATCTGGATTTGACGCATCCCTAATATGTGCAGGCTCCCAAAAAGCCAAGTGCAACTATCTACCTGTTGGTGGACTGGAGTAAAATGTTGGAGCACTTCTTTTCACATTCCACTTAAGCTGATCTAGGGGCTGGTTCTCAGTATTTTGTGGGAGAAGCTGGATGCCCTTCCTAAAATTCTGTGCAGAATTTGCTTAACTTGTGAGTGTGTTCAACTGAGGCAGGTCCAGCTCCGCATGCCCCTCTGTTTCAGAGAGTGCCAAGACAGATATCCAGGCTGCTAGTTGCATTCTTTGCACTGTGCTTTGCACTGTTGCTATAAAGTAAGGCAGAGAGAGTGTAGGAGATGACAGAGGGTGGCAGATTTAGATCATTTAAGGATCCTTTATCTGACCTTGTAGGGAACTATTCAGATGGTGTCCTGAATATGGAAAAATGTGCTGCATGGCATTGTAGCTCGTTGCTCCTCAGTTATTCTCTAGATGAGGAGAAGTAGAGCGGTGTAACCTGGGTCATGCAGCATTGGGATGACAGGGATTCCTGAATGACAAAGCAGACTTTCACAGAGTATAAAAAGAGCTGGCATGTCAGAGCACACAAAGGAGAAAAATACACAAGCTCCAGCAGGAAGCACCTGTAGTATGTTGGGAGCTGTTCACCCTGAGCTGAGGAAGGTCAGTAGCTACCCAGTTTGGTGATGAAAATTGATTCACTGGCATCATGATAGCTCAGGCTTGAGGTACGTAATATGCTTTCTCTCAGTTGGTGAATGTCACAGTATGTGTGAAATAAGATCTATTTTGGGAGAACAGATTTCCTAAGCCCCACTGAGGTCACACATCCGTTCCATAAGAAACATATACATACATCACCTGAAAAGAGTATTATTTTATGGTTCAGTGAAACTGGGTTGGACGTCAAGGAAGGTTCATAAATAGCAGCATGGTAGGTACTGGCTAGGTGCTTAAGAGAAAGGATTTGTGGAGAAACAGTGTTTACTTTGGATAAGTAAAGACCTTTCTTTCTTTGAGTAACAGAGTTACTACAAGTCAGTCTGACCAGTTTTGTTTTAGAATACTCTGCTTGTCTGTACCTCCAAGTTTGGAAGAAACTGGTAGAAAGAATGGGCAAGCTGTCATTGTGTGCCAGCTGTTTGGATGCCAGTATGGGCATCAGTTCTCTTCTGATGAGCTCATGTCTATTAGGGTGGAGTGTAAGAGTTTTCATTTGAAGCATGTGCTGGATATTGCTGTTCTGTTGATTTAAGTTGCCAAAAGGTAGATGTTGTCACTGGGGCTGTCTCCATGTGAGAAAGGGAAATGAGAGATGCCCACCTCATATATAACTTTGCATCACATAGAGAGATGAAAGGCAAAAGTGCTGCTGTATATCACTGGCATATGTATGGAATTATTTGCTATATAGGGCCAAAAAAGAAGTTGATACTTCAGTTACAGCTTTGTGTGTAACCTTATTACTCCTTTTTCTTTTTTCCCCAGTCAGTCACAAACTGTTAATGAATTAGTAAAACAGGTACCAAAAAAAAAAAATAAAAAATAAATTGGTCAACTATAGATTTTCAAAAGTAAAAAAAGTAGGTAATATAGGCAAGGCGGCTGTGTCGTCAGCTAAAACATAAGATACACTACCTTACTGGTATAGGAACTTGAAGTAAGAAATTTGTTGAGTCTTCCTACCACCAGGTATGGAGTTTGCTAAACGGAAGCATGAACAAAGCACATCTGTTTGTTCCTGTTCATGGGGTGGCTCCCAGGCCATCCCCAGAGGTGCCTGCTGTCATCAGGCAAGGTTTGTGGAGGTGAGGGAGCTGAGGACCTGGTGGCCCATGGAAGTTTTGTACAGTTCTGGCTGCTTCTCTGTTGTTCACTCTGCCTTCATCCCACCCTCACAGTGTGTAAGTGGACAAAAATGCATAATCATGTTCCTCTCTCCTTCTTCTCTGCCCCTCTCCAGAAGTTCAGTTATTCAAACCTGACTTAATTCCAGCACTTGATTTGCATTCTCTTCTCAAAATACTGCCTGCCTCAGTCTGTAGTGGAGTTTTATTGCCTTGATGCAGCCTTCAAATAACATATGTTTTGTCCATGAAGGAAAAGAGAGGAATCCTCATGCTCTAGATAATGGTGAAGTCACGTTGCCTGTTAACCAGTATGTTAACTCCAAGGTCAAGCTTGATGGAGGGGAAAAAAGTCAGATTAATTTCACTGCTAAAAAATGCAGTGGAAATAAAAATCAATATTTGATCTACTTAGACCTGATTCTATACCATCACTATAAGAGTAGCTCAGGTTTAATGCTGTTTGAAGTGAGAAAAAACTATTGGTGAGAAAAGCAAACTACTCAGTGGTCAGACACTGAGTAAAATAGCTATTTTTAGCCATGGTGAATTACTATTGCCTGAACAGCATAGAAGAGAATCCAGGATATTCTGTTCCATAATTTCACCACTTGTCTTTAATTTATTCTGCATGCAGAATGCTTGAGCATCAGGCTGCCTGTCAAAGTTCAGGGCTCGGGCTTTGGTGTGGGAGCAGATGAAAGGCGGAGGTGGGTCTGACTGCAGACATGCACAGAGCTGAATTCCAGCTGTGAGAATGCACATCTTGGTGCCTGCGGCTGCTAGGCTCCAAGCAGGTAAAATTGGCTGGGAATCAACTTTGTCACAACTGATGCAGAATTTAAGTATAAAGCAATTCCATGGGCTTGAGCTTTACGTAGTACATGTGTTTATGTAAGATATGACTTAGGGAAGATATCTGAGAAAGATGGTAGATGCCTGAATGATGCAAATCTGAGAGTTTACCCTCACTAAAGGGGGGGTCTGCAGAAAGCTTCCCCACTGGTGGGGTCGGGATAAGCTCATTGATGTCCTGTAAAGGCAGCAGAGTTCACAGAGGTGAAGGTAAATATTACACGAGCAGACCTGAGAAAGATTTGCTTTCCAAAGTGCAGCTAGAAGATGCTGCACTTCTATTGCCTGAGCCGGTCTGAACTCTGGCACCAAGAAGCCTTTTATATTGTCTTCATCATTGTCAGCATGGGGGGCTATTGTAGCCTGCAGCAGCTAGCCAGTAAATTTGGGTCAAGTAACTGCAGAATGCTCATTTAACATAAGCATATTTATATGGTTGTAACAACAAGCACTTTACAGCAGCTGGGGTTTCACACTGTCTGTGAAGCTCTAATAGGTGCTGGTGAAGTGTCCCGTTGCCTCAGGGCTTCCTGCCATGCAAGGCCATGTTGCTCAGCTTGAGTCAATGAGCATGGAAAAGCAGCAGGAACTTTCGGCATTTGTGCCGTACTCTGCAAGTTAAGTAATACAGGACATCTCTGTTACAAGTATTTACTCATTCTGAAGCAGATGCCTGTCTCAGCTTTCAAAAGAGGCCAAGTATCTACATGTCAGAGGAGCAAGGGAGAGGCCTTCTTGTAGCTATGTTTATAGCTCTGGAAGCACAGGGATCTGTTCTGAGGTTGTGCACAAATACCTCACAGCTTAATTTGGATTTCTGTGTTTCACCATTCATTCTAAAATAATGTTTATTTATCTAAATGAAAATTAAATATTGACTTGTATTTAAAAAAATCATATATTATCAATGCATATATAATAAAATACATAATACATACATAATTATGCATATTCATAATATGTAAGATATATTTGCATATATCATAAAATCTGGTATAAATTTAATAGAATATATAAGCCATGTATATTATGTAATAATGCTCTGTGTGTATGTATCAAAAACCCATTAGCCTTAAAAGTTCCCCGATAGATATTTTACATGTGTTGTTGCTAGTTCTGTTGTTCTTTCTGTTGTGATTTGTATCTTGGCAGAGCTGCAGCTGCACCATGTTTGATGCTGATGGTTCTGTTTGCTGACCAGTTGTTTGGCATTCTCCTGAAGCTCTGGGACTATTGGGATACTGAGGAAATCATTTTGTTATTATTTTCTGAGAACATCTGCATTTTTGGAGATAGGAGGTTGCATGTGTGACCCCTAACTGCTCAAAACCCAGAAAGTTAATAAATAGCACAAGGAATGAATTCTGAGAATGCTGTTGTTTTCAAAGTAAATTGCATGGTTTAAGGGGGTTCTGCTGCTTCTATTTTAAAACTTGGAGATTACAATTCTGGCAGGCTTGGCTCCAGCCATTTCTTGAAGGTAATGGAGGGCAAGTACTAACTTCTCAAACTTTTTCCCAATGCTTTTCTGCAGAAGTTCTCTTACAAATAGGTTTTTTTTTCCTGTAACTGTAGCCAGCTGGGTACTGAGCCCTGTCTGATGACTGCAAGAATTCTGTAGGTTTCAAACAAGCAACTTTGAACAGATTATACAGCTGTACAACATGTTTGCACTGAAGGCCAGAAACAGGCTACGACATTTGAAGATATTCTATCAAGGAATATCTTGATGGAAGGGGGAAGCAAGGGGGAAAAGAGCATATGCTGATGGTTACCACCTTCCTTCCAGAACTCCGCTCTGGTTATGCTGTGTAACTATTAACTGACTTGTTCTGGTGTCCCAGTCCCAGACCCATGAAAATTGTATGTGTGAGCCTGCTACAGCCAGTTGGAGAGACTGCAGAGGGGAGCATGAAACCCTTGCTTCAAGGAGCGGGGGACCCCAGAATACCATGAGCAAATAGCAACTACCATGTTCTTGCAGAACTCCAACCTGTGAGGGCTAAATTTGGCTTCAGAGGCAGAGGGGGTTTTTTTTCATCCTCATGTCCAATATTAGCCACCAGCTAGCAGTTCAGGGGGTTTATATTCTAGTTTGTCCCGTATTTTTCTAAAGGTGTTTCTAACTTCTTT